TGTAACATACTCCTGAAATAAAGAACTATTATTATTAACATATCCATTCGGAATAAATGAATTTAATTTTCGGGGAAGACACTGTAATCTGGACATTTTCAAATTGATTATACGTATGGAAGCTGTTCGACCGCGAGTTTTTAGGCATAACCTCAGGAAAATGTTTTTGTCAATGAAAAATTACGACAGAGACGAATAGCGCGACATTATCCGCGTTAAGCTTTTGCAAATGACAGATGATTAGTCTTTGCGACTCGTTTCAATTATCAGTTTCTCTTATTAACAAGAACAAAAGTACTTTTTCGATTAAATCGTTTCAATTAAAATGGAATTTACGCTTTATTGAAGAACAAAGGTAGATAAAAGGAAAGTGTTTAATATTTCATCTGCAATTTCGTTTTATTTTTGGATGAAATCGATACGACTGACTTCGATAGTTTCTTTTTTTTAGAAGATTTATGTTCGGAGTTCGTTTTCAAAAAGTTTGTTTTAGTGTTGTATAGAACGAGGTAGATTTAAATAAAATTATTCCGATTTAAGCTCTAGGAAGTGCTCTCAAAGTACTCAATACAGTTTGGATTTTATTTTGTTATTACGAAGAGATAATGATTCATAGACAAAACAAATTGGAAACGGAAGAGCATAAGCACTCTTATAGCAATCAATATAGGTTTTGATTTTAATTGAGATTACGAAGAGATGATCCCCAGACAAAGCAAATTTGAAATTATTAATTATTAGACATAATTCGTAGTTATAAAGTTATACTATTTGAATTCTTAAAATTAAAAATATTAGTTATTTTTGTATCTAGAGTGCGAAATACTATTTTGGTGACCGAGGCGCAGCCAAGTGAAAAAATCATTCGAAATGACCATAAAATTCATATTAACTAGGTCAGTAACACCAACAAAAAAGTCGTGGAAATCATATACAATGAAATTAATTACGTTTTTACAATTAAATTCTGTAATAATAATAAACGCTGTAATATCTGCCTGATATTTGATCTATTTAATTTCTAGTGGAGTCTTCAAGGCTTTAATATTTGCAAAATAAATTATTTGGAAAACATTTTTCTGTAATAGATGTGTTTATTATGGATTGTGAAGATCCAGGATCAAATAACAATTTTATTGGTGTTTTTAATTTCTACATATATTATGTCTATTCCGTAATTGTTTCGGCAAGGCTGGCCTTTTAAAAAATGTTCATACAGTTCATTAGTATACATTTGATATTCATTTTTTAAAGCATTGATTTGATAATCAGTACCATCCAAACTTCTAAAAAAGTTTGTTTGCGTATTATGTAATTCTTTAAATGAGAAATTTGGTTTTCGAATGTTTTGAAAACAGTTTTATCTATCATTATAGCTTGCGTTTCTCTTAAGTGAGGTATTTCGAGAGATGATTGACGTAGGTTCTGGTTTGAGTAATTGATTTGGAAAAATTTGATTGGGTTTGAAAACATTTTGAGGTTTTAGGTTTTCCCCCAAAAAAAGCATTTGTGGTGGTATTTTTTGAATTATCTAAATAAGTTTAAATATTATGGTGTTATAATCACCGGGCGTATTGAAAACCATTTTAGTCTGTCTTCTGATAGGCTACGATGAATACGATTCTTTTTCAGTATAGTAGATAATCCTTGTATTTTTGATAAAACTTCTTGTGTTTCACTATTTTATTTATATGGATTCTGCTTCTTGAATAAATATTATTATTATAAGTATATTTTATTTGAAAAAATGTGACGAAAGAAAACTCTTCACACTTTCATATATAACTTCTGCTATCTCTATATCAACTTTTTTGAACGTAAATAATTCCTAAAAGAATTTCCACTGCTTGAAAAGTTAAAATAGTCTCACGTAGTGCCATTATGTGTGTCGTACGTCACGGCGCTTTCATCCGAAACTCCAGAAAGAGAAATATTATTTTAGAAAATTAAGAAAATATTTACATGAGAAACGTAACACTATTTTCACGGCAATGTAACTTAATACCAAAGAAATATGGCTATTTGCATACGTCCGCTCCGGCAAACTCGACATAGAGGGCGTACGCGAGAAGTAAAATTGATTTTATTATTTTTGTTGGGTAACGAAATGTTACAGGTTTAATGTACGGTATTATATATCACAGAGGTACACTTTTTAACTATGATAAAATGTAAATTTTAAACAGTATGTGTTGAATTTGTTCACTGTATTAAGAACGGGAAATACCTGTATATAATTCCTCAAATATAGAGTATTTAAAAATATTATTTTTGGTTAAATAAAGGTATACCTTAGGAACTTATTTATAGTCATCAAGAAAAAGATACAGCTTTATTTTTTGTTTCATATAAATGATTCTCAAAAATTACTATACTAAAAAAAACAGATAATAAAATTATTATTTATAAAATATGGTATCTCTTTTATTGTCGGTCATAACCTACTTTGAGGGACACTCCATATTAAACACAAACTCAAATATAAGTACATCAACCCAGAATAAATTCTGAAAATTATTTATATTCAAATTCAAGCCATTTCACCGTATTAAATTACAAAAAGCCCGGAAACAATCTCCTTTCAATGGAAAACTCAATCTAAACCAAATTTCTATTTGAAACACCTTCCATTATTCAGAACCAAGCGAAAAAGAAGGAGCAAAAAAAAACAGCAGAGATTGAATGCAAAATACCAGAATACAAGTGCTCCCTTGTAGATAATTTATTCATCTCAGCCGTCTGAAGTTCAGTGCACTGGGACAATCTCTCTAAAGTGACTAAATTGTTTCTCAGACCTGCGTCACGGAATTGACGCGCGCCAAAAACGACGCCAACTTCAATTCGTAATGAAATTGCATGCGTAACTGAATTATTGAATAGGCGAATTTCCCCGAGAAACTCGAAGGTTTCGGTCTTGTTAAATATGTAAGAACTAAAGTGATAAGACGAATGGAATAGGGGATAATTGTAATTATTAATGCAAAAGAGAAAGATTGAATATCGCTTATAAAAATTAGTTAAAAAATAGAAACCGTACTACCTTTGCAAGCACTGACTCCAGACTATCACGATTTGGAATCGTGATAGTTACTCTATTTTTTAATTGTTTCGAGATCAATCCAGTCATTTTTTTGATATCTTCATTGAAAAGTCGAATTTTTATAGTACTTTATATGTATTGTTTAAAACAAAACTATACTATTAAATTAAATAAACTTTTAACAAATCCAAGTTGATTAAAACCGACATTAAAAAACGTCGATACGTTTCTTGATACAAGAATTATTCATCGAAAGATTTCCAACCCTTCAGTCAGGATAACAAATAGCGGCAACTTGTGTGATAAATTACCGAATTTCTAACACCGGAATTGAAATTTGCCATTGATTTTTCTCATGAAATTTGCATATGCCCCGCTGATAGCTGAAATGAAGAACATACGTCAAACGGGGACCGAAAAACGGAAATTAGATCCATTGGGCTCTATTCAGGTAACACAAATACAAATGGATGGGAGGATAATGTGGTTTTCTTACTTAACATAAACAAAAACTAATCCACTCTTTTTCCGAAACAAAAGAGCTGTCAGAATTGAATGGAGAAAACATACGGGTGTTTCGATTCATTAATTTATAAAATGGTTGGATGAGAACCATTATCGCGATTACATATACGAGGGTAGGTAAAAAATGTTGATATAGTTCTTTATAAATTACTGGTGAAATATAATATGTATCTTCTGGATAAACAATTTCTTTTAGTGAGAAAATTGGTTAAATTTTTTAAAATTTTTCATTAAATTTCTTTTCATCTTGGGAGTTTTTCACATTAAAATGAAAATACTAAATTTAATGATCGACGTTAGATAATATTTAAATATATGAACTCAAATTTCTAAAATAATAATATTATTAATTATAAGACATTTTAAATATTATTTTGGTAAGTGTAGACTTTATTTCAAATTTAAGAAAAAAATTTCATTTAACTTTTGAAAAAATAGTATTTAGGTTTTATTTTCTCTTGACTTTCCAAATATGTAAAATATTAGTAAACACACTGTATAAAATAGTCAGGAGTTGGTTAACAATAAAATACAATTTTAACATTCATTTTATTAAAAATTGTAATGAACTAACTAATTAATATCTAGCATTTCCATTTAATTAAATTCTCCAACATTAACTACTAACTAAAATGTTTCATTACTTTAAGACGAACATTATTTGTTATTGTCCGGTTTTTCGTTTAGCATTTTAAATAATAGAGAAGATTCCAGTATACCCTTCTACATCATTTAGCAAATAAATGCCTCCTGAGAGGTAAAAGTCTTTATTTTCTGGTGATCCCAGCAGTTAGGTCCGATCTCAAATGCTATCGACCTATTGACTTTCGTAGAATATCTCCCAAACCACACATTTTCGAGGATCGCAGATCTGAAGGTCTTAAACGTTAATTTGTTTATTTACTTACAACTTGGAACATTTAGTTGTTTTGGGGTAAGTTTGGCCAAAGTCATGATAAATAACATGTATAATTTATGAGTTATGTTTCGGGTACCTAATACTAAAGTTTAATTTTAATGGTTTTATGTGCCACAAACTTTTTTTTTAACAAAAACAACTTGGTTTCTAAAACAACTGTACATTTTTTTTATATTGACATTTTTTTTAATCGAAAAAGCTTTTTGTAAAAAGTAGCCTGTAGTAAATAATAATTAACTTTAGACATGAGTAAGATAGCATAGTTATCCAAATGGAGGCATATGACAATAAAACGATTATTCTAATGTCACAGACTGATACCTTCAGGGCTGTGAAAACCCTAAATCTTATCATTTTCGGTCTATCTGAAATCCCGTCCGTACGGTGTGGTCCTTTTGTTCGAGCTCAATGTCTCGTGAAACCCTTACTATGAAATTCAGGTGACCGCCCGTCCACTCACCGCAATTTTATTCACTAAGCGTTCTAAATTGGGATAAAATACGCCATTTTACTTACTTCTGGTTGACTCTCTCCGTGTACAATGCAGACAAGCTGAGCTTCAAAACCTTCCGCAGAGTGAACAACGGGTCTCTCCACCGAGATTTCAGGAGGATCTGAAACAGAACATAGTGAATTGAATTATATATTTTGAACTAATGATCCGATGTCTTTTTCAGGGGATCCTCATCAAAGGGATATTTTCCATATTCGAAAGGAGTAAGACGGTTAATGGATCAAATGGGCGTCCGCTCAATAAACTAATCGTATGCGGATATTGATTATGTTTACAGGGTGTATTAAAATAAAAAGAGCATTAACATACATTCATATTATAATTTTGCATCAGTTAAACAGTAAATAAACAAATGGTGAGTAAATATTGGAAATCAGCAAATGTTAACACTCTCTAGGGGGAGTAAGTTGTTATTGATTTGCCTATTTTCAGTCAGTAAAAAATTAAATATTTTTAAATTAAACACACTGTTTAATAATTCCTACTTGATTTAGCATCTAGACAAGATAGACTTCATAGAATTAAAATGAAATTTAGTTTTTAATATGGAAAAATAATACCTAATTTAGTTTTGATGACTTTATTTCTGGACATCCTGTACATTTATTTAAATAAAGGCTCCATTGTCAAATTTATAACAAATAAGAAGTCAACTTTGACACTCTCTAACTTCAACACATGTTCAAATTTGACAATGTTGTTTGCAAAATAATGTTTCTATACTTTTTATAAGTATTTTCTAAAATTTTGAAGTTTATAAATCTATTAGTTTGGAAATAGTGACGAAATAAAGGCGCCAATGTCAAATTTATAACAAATAAGAAGTCAACTTTGACACTCTCTAACTTCAACACATGTTAAAATTTGACAATGTTGTTTGCAAAATAATGTTTCTATACTTTTTATAAGTACTTTCTAAAATTTTGAAGTTTATAAATCTATTAGTTTGGAAATAGTGACGAAATAAAGGCGCCAATGTCAAATTTATAAGAAATAAGAAGTCAACTTTAACACTCCCTAACTTCAACAAATGTTAAAATTTGACAATGTTGTTTGCAGAATAATGTTTCTACACTTTTAATAAGTATTTTCTGAAATTTTGAAGTTTATACATCTATTAGTTTGGAAATAGTGACGAAATAAAGGCGCCAATGTCAAATTTATAACAAATAAGAAGTCAACTTTAACACTCCCTAACTTCAACACATGTTAAAATTTGACAATGTTGTTTGCAGAATAATGTTTCTACACTTTTTATAAGTATTTTCTGAAATTTTGAAGTTTATAAATCTATTAGTTTGGAAATAGTGACGAAATAAAGGCTCCAATGTCAAATTTATAACAAATAAGAAGTCAATTTTGACTCTCTCTAACTTCAACATATGTTAAAATTTGACAATGTTGTTTGCAGAATAATGTTTCTACACTTTTTATAAGTATTTTCTGAAATTTTGAAGTTTATAAATCTATTAGTTTGGAAATAGTGACGAAATAAAGGCTCCAATGTCAAATTTATAACAAATAAGAAGTCAACTTTGACACTCTCTAACTTAACACATGTTAAAATTTGACAATGTTGTTTGCAGAATAATGTTTCTACACTTTTTATAAGTATTTTCTGAAATTTTGAAGTTTAAAAATCTATTAGTTTGGAAATAGTGACGAAATAAAGGCTCCAATGTCAAATTTATAACAAATAAGAAGTCAACTTTAACACTCTCTAACTTCAATACATGTTAAAATTTGACAATGCTGTTTGCAGAATAATGTTTCTACACTTTTTATAAGTATTTTCTGAAATTTTGAAGTTTATAAATCTATTAGTTTGGAAATAGTGACGAAATAAAGGCTCCAATGTCAAATTTATAACAAATAAGAAGTCAACTTTGACACTCTCTAACTTAACACATGAAATTAAGTATTTTCTGAAATTTTGAAGTTTATAAATCTATTAGTTTAGAAATAGTGGTGAAATAAAGGCTCCAATGTAAAATTTATAACAAATAAGAAGTCAACTTTGACACTGTGAATTTTATAATCTATTTTGTTATTATTTCGTAATTTTCCTTATATACAGTGCATATAAAACATGTAATTAATAAATTAAATCGTTTTTAATCATGTTAAAAGTTTGGGAAACAAGTTGTGCAATTAACCGTTCAAATTGCTGCATAGAATTTTCATAATGGAAGCTTTAATAACATTTCAGAATGGAGACGTTTTAAAATTAAAAGCACAGTACAAATGCATTTCAAAAGAAACAGTTCCTTTTTCAAACTTTTTTGATTCTTGTTCGCAAATCAAGGATTTCTTTTGAATTAGCATAAGCAATGTAATAAAAACATTTTAACTTCATAATGAGTTGAGAACTTTCTTGATTTTTATGAAAAATTTCAAAGACGAAACTTTAATAATGAAACGAAAAATAATTAATGAATTGAATAAGAATTATTAGAAAAATCTGACAACCACGTAATTTATTTTTTATTATTTAATGAATAGATATTTTGAATAATACTATGACAGTTTGTAATGTTACATTTATGATGAAAAAGCTATAAAACAATAAATATAATAATTATATAAATGTTTTATTACTATTTCTTAAAAATCTTTTCAAATTAATTTTATTATTTAATTTTAATGTTATACAATTTTGTTCCAATGTAAGAAAATACTTTTTGTGATAATGACTTCTTCACAAATTTGTAGGTATGAAGTTTCATCTATCTAGTATAGTACTGATGGTCCGGATAAGGTTCCTTGCTATTACTATAACGGTACTTTAATCATATATAAAAGTAGAATAACTTCGGTAAGTCCATTATATCTTATTTCATCGATTAAATATTTGTATGGCTCTCAACTTAAGGTTGCTAACGTTTTTACTTTCCTATCTGTATACAGATATAAGGAAAGTATAGGAATCATGATTTTTTTTCGACCTCGAGTTTTCGACGGATTTTTACGTTTTGAGGTCCCCTGAATCCGTTTTGACTATTTTCGCGATGATGTCTGTGTGTGTGTGTGTGTCTGTATAACGCATAACTCATAAACCGATACACGGAAAAACACTAAATTTCAAACTTAAGCTTTGTTCCAGCGTCTAATGAGCTGATTAGATTTTGGGCAGAGTCGGAACATCTGGGGGGGTACTTTATGGGTGGTCATTTTTATATTTTATGGAATATATCTGTTATTTACGTTTGGGGAAGAAAATTCTTCAAATGAAAGTAACTTCTTATTTTATTATCTATAATTTTTGTTATATACAAAATTTTCCTAAAATGGTCCGTATTCGCGAAATTTGACAAAATGTAAAAAAATATTTTTTTTATAAAAATTGTTCAAACAATAATATAATTTTTATCCTATAGATAATTTCTCTAAAATGGACCGTATTCGAGATATTTGAGAAAATGTGTAAATTTCGAAATTTGAAGAAAACTCAAAAACGGATAAAGAAAAAAACATTAAATTTTAAACTTAAGTTTTATTTCGGCCTGACGTGAAATGATTAGATTTTGGACAAAGTCGATACATCTGGGGGGGTACTTTATGGGAGGCCGTTTTTATATTTTATGGAATATATCTGTTATTTATGTTCGGAGAAAAAAATTGTTCAAATAAAAGTTACTTCTAATATTATTATCTATAATTTTTGCTTTATGTAAAAATTTCCTGAAATGGTCCGTATTCGAAAAATTTGACAAAATGTGCAAAATTCTGATTTTTATGAAAATTGTTGAAATAAAAGTTGTTAGCGATATCGATCTCTATAATATTTGTTCAAACATGATTTTTTTAAAATGGACCGTAATGGAAAAATTGTAGGAAAAGTGCTAAATTTAAATTTTTCAGTATTTTCATTTTCAGTGAATATCTATAGAAAAATGTTTCGCGGTAGATGTATGTGGACAATGTATATATTTAGTTTATCCTCTAAACATTTATAGAGATGCTGCAATAGGTTGTACAAAATAACCGGAAAAAACCTGTAATAACTAGATAGGAAAGTCATGTGTTGGACACATCAGATTTTTTATATAGTAGTTGTATTCCATTCACTATATATTAAACTAACTTGACATGTTTTTCATGAACACTCGGAGTGAATAGAGGTTATATGGGGCAATTAACATACGAGTACATAACATACAAACATTTTGAGGCTATCAAATCACTTTTACATAATAGTTCAACCATTCAGTCATATATTTTCTAGAACAAAATAGTTTAATTTATGGTGAATACGGTAGAACTGATAAGGACAATACTCTTAGTGCTTTAAAAGGTTTCAAAATCAACAATATTAGTTAATTTTCGGTACTCGTGGGTCTGTTTTATTGATCCCTTACAGTAGGCCGTTATCAAAATAATGGGAATGTCCTTAATAACCGACAACAGCGTAAACATTAACAATTTGAAACTGTTATACTGCGATGATTGCTACTCTCTATTTGTCCCTCCACTTCCCGATTTACATATTCAGATTGAATACGGGGCTCCGAATATTGTGACAAAGTCTCATTTGATAAGCGTTCGTTTGCTAGATTATAAGCGATTGATATGTAAAATAATGTTATCGTACACGCTACACTGCGTTACTTCTAATGTATTTTTCTTAAGTTTAGTTAGACACACTAACTTCTAATTTAGAAGAAACGATTAGGTAAATGTAAGAAAAATGAAAGGTGATGATGGCGTTTGGAATAATTTGAAAAATTGAATGCTTTAATTGAATAATAAAAAGAAAATGGTTGTAATAACAATGCATTAAGGTATTAGTCAACCCCATTTGCAGCACCAGCAGGCCACAAATCAAATTGATTTTTTCAGAATGTCGTTTTTTTATTATCCGGAATTTGATCCTAATTGCCGCATTGTTGTTCCAAACCGACATTAAAAAGACTGGCTCAAATACTGGTTGTTGTATGCAATAATTTAAATTGTTGGTCCATTGTCAACCAACCTTTTATACTCTGTTAGTAAACATCGCGTACCAATCGTGCAGCGAATATATAACTGACATCGGGAGCTGGTGGGGTGGACAATTCAGTTGCATCGCGCTTCATCAGCCGCGTTTTGCCATGATCGACC